GATCGCCCAAGAGGCCTTCAAGATGGCCCCACAACGGCCCGAGAGGCCCCCAAGACGGCCCAGGAGGCTTTTAAGACGCCCAAGATGGCCTCCAAGGCGGGCCCTGGAGCATTCCAAGAGGGCCCCAAGTCGGCCCAGAGAGACCCCCCAAACGGCTTCCGACGGCGTCAGACGGGCCAGGATCCCACCAAGACAGCCAAAGATGGCCCAAGAGGCCTCCAAGAGGGCCTCCAGGAAGGCCCGAAAAAGCCAAAATCATTGATTTCCTAAGAGTTTGTGAAGGATTGTGGCAGTTGCTTTTTGTTCGGCCTTCCGACGGCCCGAGACGGCCCAAGTTCCCCCAAAGATCGCCCAAGATGGCCCCAAGAGGCCCCCAAGACGGCCCAAGAGGCTTCCAAAACGCTCAAGATGGCCTCCAAGACGGCCCAAGAGCCCTCCAAGACGTCCTCCAAGAAGGCCCGAAAGGGTCAAAATGGCCTCCACACGGCCAAGATGACCTCCAAGATGCCCATGTGTTCCCCGAAGGTTTTCGAAACCGATTCGGGGAACACATGATCCGATAGCTTGGCAGGTGGCCTCAACGTTCGGCCACATAGGCGCTTCCAGAAAAGCAGGGGGCGGCGGTGATTCGCCGTGGGCGTCTTCGATCCGCCGCCCCCTGTTGATTAATCACAGGGGTGCCTGGCGTGCCAAACCCTCTCGGTTTGGGTTTTGGTGTTTTTTTCCGAAGAACTGCCCCTGGGGTTTCGGCCCGTCCCGCCGGCCATCCCGAAAGGAGCTGAATTGCACAATGCTTCCTCCAAGACGGCTCATGATGGCCTCCATGATGGCCACGTTCGCCCAAGATGGCCTCCAAGATGGCCTCCGATGGCCTTCAAGTCCGCCCAAGAGAGGAGGAGGTGCCTCCAAGTCCGCCCAGGAAACCTCCATGACGGCCTAAGACGGCCCAAGAGGTGCCCAAGAGGCCTCCAAGACGGCCCAAGAGGTCCTCCAGGAGAGCCCGAAGAGGCCAATCTTTAAGTTTCCTTGGTTAATATAAGTTTTTCGTATGTGTTCCTTCTCGGCTTTCCGACGATCCAAAAACGGTTTCCGACGGCGTCGGACGGGCCAGGAACCCACCAAGATTGCCGAAGTTGGCTCGAAGCTAGCCCAAGACGGCCAAGAGGCCTCCAAGAGGGCCTCCAGGAAGGCCAGAAAAGGCCAAAAGCACTGATTGTCCTTAGGTTTTTGAAAGATTTTGACATGTGGTTCTTTTCTGCCTTCCGACGGCGCCCAAAGATCGCCCAAGAGGCCTCCAAAATGGCCCCAGAATGGCCCAAGAGGCCCCCAAGACGGCCCCAAGAGGCCCCCGAAACGGCCCAGGAGGCTTTTAAGACGCCCGAGATGGCCTCCAAGACGGCCCTGGACCATTCCAAGAGGGCCCCAAGTCGGCCCAGAGAGGCCCCCAAACGGTTTTTGACGGCGTCGGACGGGGCAGGAGCCCACCAAACAGCCGAAAATGGCACTAAGATGGCCCAAGACGGCCCAAGAGGCCTCTCAAGAGGGCCTCCAGGAAGGCCCGAAAAAGCCAGTGGCATTTGTTTTTTGTCGGCCTTCCGACGGCCCGAGACGGCCCGAGACGGCCCAAGTGCCCCCAAGAGGCCCAAGTGCCCGAGACGGCCCAAGTCGCTCAAGAGGCCTCAGACGGCCCCAAGAGGCCCGCAAGACGGCCCAAGAGTCCTCCAAGACGTCCTCCAATAAGGCCCGAAAAAAAGCCAAAATGGCCTACACACGGCCAAAATGACCTCCAAGATGCCCACGTGCTCCCCGAAGGCTTTCGAAACCGATTCGGGGAACACATGATCCGATAGCTTGGCAGGTCTGGCCTCAACGTTCGGCCACATAGACGCTTCCAGAAAAGCAAGGGGCGGCGGTGATTCGCCGCAGGCGTCTTCGATTGAATTATAATCGGAATCCAAATGAAACCGGAGAAAACCCCAATCATAATCTCTTCAAGGCTGCAGGGCTATAGGGCCACACGGCTATAGGGCTCTAGTGCTATATTGGTTATTGGGTTATTGGGCGATTTGGTTTTTATTGGGCTATTGGGCTATTGGGCTATAGGGCTATAAGGCTATAGGGCTATAGGGCTATAAGGCTACACGGCTATGAGGCTATAAGGCTATAGGGCTACAGGGCTACAAGGCTCTAGGGCTATAGGGCTTTAGGGCTATAGGGTTATTGGTCTATGTGGCTATCTGGCTATAGGGCTATAGGCCTGTGCGACTATAGGGCTAGAGGGCGATAGAGCACCCGGGCCCCCGGGCACCCGGGCACCCCCGGGCACCTCCGGGCACCCCAGGGCACCTCCGGGCACCCTCGGGCACCTCCGGGCACCTCCGAGCACCCCCGGGCACCCCAGGCACCCAGGCACCCGGGCACCCGGGCACTGGGGCACCCGGGCCCGCCGCCGAAATCGGCGGCACACCTCACCTAACCATATGAATCCGCTAGGACCCCT